CACACACACACACACACACACACACACACACACACACACACACACACACTTTGGATTATCTTATTTTAGATTCGAATAATTTCAAGTGGAACTAATGTTCAGCCACTGTTTCCACTGGGACTTGTTATTTTGACGGACCGGGCTGCAGAGAGAGAGAATCCAGACTCACTCCTCAGAGTCTGAAGGTCGTACTCCAGGGTGTTTATTTGTGCAGAAATATCAGAAAAACAAACACACAACAAACAGACTGACCCACAAACTCTGGAGTTCCAAAGATGTTTTTGAAGTCGTTGCTGAAATCCATCTTGTGAGCCAGACCGAAGTCGATGAGCTTGATACGTGGGTGAGGCACTGAGCGGTTCAGCAGCATGATGTTCTCTGGCTACAAACAACAACAACAACAACAACAAGAGGGGACAGGGACAGAGAAGGAAACAGTTACAAGCTGAACAGAAATCACAGATCCAGACACTTCCTGATGATCTGTGTCCTGGACCACCTGACTGACAGGTGTTTACCTCCTTGTTTACCTCATTGTTTACCTTGTTTACCTCCTGTCTTACCTTCAGGTCAAAGTGAGCGATCTGTTTGGAGTGCAGGTACAGAACCCCATCCAGGATCTGCTTCAGGAACTGTGTCGCCTCCTCTTCACTCAGAGACTCCTTCTCTGCCAGGAAGTCAAAGAGTTCACCTCCAGCAACACTGCAGACATGACAGGGTCAGATTAGATCATCTGAGATTAACTGGGCAGATTAAATAATCTGAGATTAATTGATCAGATTAAATAATCTGAGATTAACAGGTCAAATTAAATAATATGAGATTAACTGGTCAGATTAAATAATCTGAGATTAACTGATCAGATTAACAGGTCAGATTAAATAATCTGAGATTAATTGGTCTGATTGAATAATCTGAGATCAACTGATCAGATTAAATAATCTGAGATTAACAGGTCAAATTAAATAATATGAGATTAACTGGTCAGATTAAATAATTTGAGATTAATTGATCAGATTAAATAATCTGAGATCAACTGATCAGATTAAATCTGAGATTAACTGATCAGATTAACAGGTCAGATTAAATAATCTGAGATTAATTGGTCTGATTGAATAATCTGAGATTAAGAGATCAGATTAAATAATCTGAGATTAACAGGTAAGGTTAAATAATCTGAGATTACAGGTCAGATTAACAGGTCAGATTAAATAATCTGAGATTAACTGGTCAATTATCATTTTGATAAGAGATTATTTCTGCAAGAGAACCAAGAAAACAGACTCAGAACACACATGTAATTATTACACTGTCACATCAATATTACAGTATTTCAGGAAGTACACCGACCCCTCACAGGAAGTACAAAGACCATACACAGGAAGTACACCGACACCGCACAGGAAGTACAATGACCCTCATAGGAAGTACAGAGACCACAGANCACAGGAAGTACACCGACCCCTCACAGGAAGTACACCGACCCCTCACAGGAAGTACACCGACCCCTCACAGGAAGTACACCGACCCCTCACAGGAAGTACACCGACCCCTCACAGGCAGTACAAAGACCATACACAGGAAGTACACCGACTCCTCACAGGAAGGACACTGACCCCTCACAGGAAGTACAATGACCCCTCGCAGGAAGTACAGAGACCATACACAGGAAGTACACTGACCCCTCACAGGAAGTACACTGACCCCTCACAGGAAGTACACTGACCCCTCACAGGAAGTACACT